GGTTTTGTTGAGTGTTTGGACTCGACCTGCGAAACACTTTTTTGAACAGCACGTGGTGGACATCACACGTCCAATTGTCTTCGTCATGATTCTTCTCGAAGCAGCGACGGGCACCTTTTGCGATATCCAACGCCTCCTCAGGCGTAAGTCTACTACCATCGGTCTCTGACTTAGCAAAAACATCCATGTCAAGGTCGTTGCTACGTCTGAATGCCTCGAACTTGGACGGGTCCGACTCCGGTGACAAGATGCCTTTGCAGCGATCGATCTGTCTGATCTTCAGTAGTGCCTTTTCAATGGACGATGGAAGATTTTGAGTTTGAAGTCCGCTTAGTTGTCGAGGGATTATCCCTTCTTCGTAGACCTGTAGGGAGGTAAATCTGCGGCGGGATGATGATTGCGAGCTAGATCGAATACTCGCGGATGACTTTGTAGGGGAGGAGGATACGGTTCTCGGAGGTCTGGGTGGTTGCTTCAGAGCTGTCGCCATTGGCGTTCGATCTACATCATCCTGTCGCCTCCTCTTCGTCGGAGTCGACGCCCTATCCATGGAGCTTGGGTCTGGTGAGAGAGGATGGGTCCGCTTGCGTGATTCCTGCTGGGATCTTGGAAGGTCAGGACAACATCTGATCTCATCTGTGGAAGAAGTAATTCCATCAATCCACTTAGGAACATCCACCATGATGATTGGGGTTCTCGTTCGGTGGATATTTCTTGGTTTTCAAGAAGAATGAGAAGTGTCTCGGGATGTTGTGTGGGTTGGTTTATAGGGAAAGTCGTTGCCTGGGAGACCGATCCTGCCCCGCTATGGCGTGGCGTTGGCCGCCACTAAGCTTCTGTCCGTAAATCCCAAGTGGACAATTCCAAATGCATTTCTCTCGGTTCGCGGAATGACACGAGAGATGGAGCGCTTGGTAAGTCTGGGTCGCTCCAGTGCTTTATGTGCGCCAATAGAGTCGAGGGCTTGCTTGCCGTTATCTTCGGATCTGATGACGGGAGTCGACTCATTCAACGTTGCCGAGAAAAGTGAAAATCAGGAGAGTCTCAGCGGGGGTCAGCATCCTCCACTACATTGACGTTGGTTTTACATGGTCGCTCACAATCAGTCCTTCGCCTCGGGGACGAGTGTCTTCCCTTTCTCGAGGAACTTCCGATTACCTGCGACGCTGTTCAGCTCACTCTTGGCACTCTGACTGTATTTTTTGACTTTAAGGAGACCCCTGGACCATCTCTGTCCGTCATGGCAACTGCGGGCTTAGACAACGCGTGTGTAAGGAATCTCTGAGGTCACTCTAGTTTCTGACGAGGATGGTAGAGTGCGATTTAGGTTGCACCTCGCACAGTCGCCAGTTTTTGAAATAACACTGGGCAGGAGGCTAGTGAAGTTGAGGAACGTGGCCCGGGTGAGCTAGTCAATCTTGTTGAACCTTCAGTCGAGCTTGAGCCTGAGCCTGAGTCCGAGCCTGTCCCAGTGAATGATCCCTGGGATTGGGCCTCTGTGAAAAAGAAAAGGGCCTCGTCGTCAAAACAGGACCGATTGTGGGCCAAGTTTGTGTCAGTTCGGAGGATCAGCGACGCATTGGACGTGGACTCACTGACGGGGTCCGACGCAGGGGCATTTGCTATCCCACGCAAAGGTCTACGTCTTTGCGGAGTGTTACGGTATTGTCCAACTAATGACACTTTCGTAAATACAATACTACGCCACCCCTTGCCCGTTAGTAGTGATGCGACTTAATAGTACAAGTACGTACGTACGAGTACGCACATACAAATTTCCCTTTCCTTTTTAGGCAATGAAGGTAAATATCGCAGACAGAGTGCCCCTGGTTTGGTACGTACATTGTGGACCCATAAATTCCCTGATCAGGAATATCGTGGACCATGTACGTACATAACGTGTACTGTACAGCACCTTAATGAGAAAAGAGTTCAAGCTTTCGGCTCTGAAAATGCACCTAAACAACCCGACGCGGATTGGGACATTCGCACAGCCGTAAGCAGCTCTGCACGCAACGGCGTAGTAGGGGTCGGTGGAGCTGTCCGAGGCACGCCATTTATTGATGGGGACGCAACAAGCGAGGAGTTCTCTTTTACTCTAGGCCTCAGGACCGAACAGAATCCGTATTCTGGACAACTAGCAGCAATGGCGCATGCGTTAAACCTCCTACCCAATGTCAGTCACCGCCGTATAGCGCTCTTAACCACTAATAAAGCAGTTGCCCTTAGCCTCCGCAATCCCCAGCGGCAGTCCGGCCAAGTATATATTCGCTCTATCTATAAAAGTATTGCCAAGCTGTGGTGCAATGGAAATGGTTTGTTAGTATTCTGGGTTCCTAGCTCCGACGAAAACGACCTGCTGCGGCTAGCCAAGCGAGAGGCAAGACAAGCAACCAGGGAAGGGGCTATCCCGGCGAAAAGATTCCCCGGAATGAAATCCACTACGCTGAACCTCGAAAGGAAGAAGCTTAATAGCGAAAAAAGGTTGCCGGATGGTGTGGGTAAACATTCAAAAACAGTGGACATGGCCCTCCCAGGTCAGCATACTCGACAGCTATACGATAACCGACCCTGGATAGAACGCAACGTCCTAGCCCAGATGAGAACAGACATGACGAAACTCAATAGCTCACTTTATCGAATACATGCAGCACCATCCAGACAGTGTGCCTGTGGACATGAGCCAGAGACAGTAGCGCATTTTCTATTTCGATGCATAAGATGGGAAGAACATCGGACGAGGATGCATCAATGCACTGAAACTAACAGAGGAAATCTTTCATCCTTTTTAGGAGGAAAGTCACCGTCAGATGGACCAAATTGGCAACCAAATTTGAAGGCAGTGCAAGCGACAATCTGCTTTGCACTGGCCACAGGCCGGCTGGAAAATAAGCAACACATATAAACTACAGCGACCACCCGTCAATTACTAACTCACCGCCCAACTCCCATTAACACCTCGTGCTACAGACAGCAGACGCCGCTTCAGCTGCCGTAGATAGGATCCTGAACACTTGGGGAATAAGCTCCAAGCAAGCCCGCTGTGAAGAATTATAAAACATGAGAAACCGTAGCGAAGCAAGGGAACAGATTGTAAGAGCAGAAACTGGATGATAAGGATTCATGGGCTTCAATGAGGAAAAGGCTAGGCTTCAGAATGTACACGTCCCACAGGTTTATAGTTGCCCTTTTGGAGTTTTCCACCGGGCGTAATAAATGAATGAATGAATGAATGTACGTACGTATGTACAACGCCATAGTATGTAAAGTACAACATCACTACCCGTTAGACCTGTGGGTGCAAGGAGTAGAATCATCCGAAGGCTGAGAGTTCTTGGGCCAAGCGATTATTACAGCCATTATATTAGTGATCTAGTTGAGCTTTGAGCAGTTATGTAATTTTTTATGCAGAACTCTAGTCTATCTTGTAGGGATTCCGTGGAAGAACTTGTCGCTTCCTATGCCGCTGATCCCTCATCTTCATCTTCATACCATCCGAGGGAGACTCATAAAACAGATGACTACGATCAAATGGCGCATCCAACATCGGGCCCCGGAGCGTTTTCACACGAGAGACAGCTACGTAGCTGAGACCCGTCTGAAAGTCCCGGCAGGAGAGGTCCGTAACAATCACATCTTCAGTGATGCTTTGCGACTTGTGAACGGTAACGAGGCGCGAGGAAGACCAGCCAGCCTGGGAGCTAGGCTGCCAGAAGTCCCGCGGCGGTGGACAGGAGGATGCAGATGTTGGTGTGTTCAAGACTGAGTGGCCAAACAAGCAGCAACCGCGGCCAGATGTACCGCCAGAAGCTGGCGTGGGGAAAGAAAGGCGACAGGCCGAAGGAAACGGATGGAGCAGACAAGTGATTGAGTCAAGGTGGCGTTGAGTGATTTAGTTGAGGGGTGAGTGAGTGAGTGAGTGTATTTTCCGTCCAGCGGCCATTGGCTGCTCAGGTCCCCTACGCGGGGCACAGGACGTGCTAGGCTAGTGCTAAATTTGCTACGTGCGACTACATGAACAAAACACTATCTAACATGGCATCAGCTCAAAGGCGCT